TTGACGCTGGATTGCGCTCATTATTTTAACTGTCCGGATCATCGATCAATTCCAGTCCCTTTCTTTATTTTCCTCACTAGCTACCTTGCTTTCCTAGTATGTTTGCATTCATTACAGTTCGCATGGTAACCTCCTTTTGAGAGATTTTGCTTAAAAGATGGCTGGCTTTTTAGAAGATCGTATGCATTTATTTCATTTTTTGTTATTAATTTTGTTGGAACAAGTTTTTTAAAATTATATTCTTTAATGTCAGTTGTGAAAAGGTATGTTTGTGGCGAAAAAGAGGAAATTGTCATTGATGGAAAGAGAAAGCGGTTGGATGGCGAGGACAAAAGTTTTGCTCGTGAAGTGGAAGGATTTCTTTGTTTGTTTCCCAACTTTGGGGATGTGGAGCGTGGCTTCCCAGATTTTTACAACTTCAGTTTGAACTCTGGGAAGCCAATGGCAATGGTGCTTGTCAGTATACAAGAGAGATATAGGATCTGTACCAAAGTTTTAGCTGTCGATCCAAACAACAATGTTGTCATCATTTACCACGAACGACGTGGCAGCTACCTTGCTTCACGAGTACGAAATGCTGTCGTACTTGCAAGATATATGAACACTATGTTATTGGACGCAGGAGGGAAAGCGCCACTTTAATGAATATTGCTTAAGCAACAAATTTTTGTTGTCATCTGGTGACACTGCTTTCCGGATGACACTAGTGAAGCAGTGTCCCAACTTTTTGGTAGTTGGTGCTGTACCATTTGCGACTTTTGCACAGGCTTTCAACAGAAGGTTTGGATATGACCTAAGCTGCAAAAAGGGGCACAAGGGGACACAAAATGGACCTGCGGTCAAGCGAATGAAAAGGTATTGTTAATACCTATTACATATTCAGTATTTCTTTCAGACATTTTCAACACAAACCATGTTATTTTGAAAACAAAACTTCCCACAGATAAGCTTTGTGTACAAAGTTGACTGGTAAAGCCTTTAAAAAGATGATCAGTAGTGTTGCTTAAAAATAAAAAAGGTGAAAACCTTTAATCTGTACCAATAGTTACAAAATGGCCCTGAGGTTAATGCTATGTATGGCTTCTATGAAATACTGAATTACCAAGTTATGATATAACAATGCGCCATTTAAGATTCCTGTTCTCCTACAGCATAGTGTTATAGTTTTGATTTACAGCTTACATGAAAAAAGGACTCCCATAGGTATGATTATTTGTAATTGTTAACAAATGAATTGTTACTCTTGCATCAATTTTTCAATTTCATTTTTACATAATTTTTCTTACTATACGATTGGTTTCTAACAGACTGAGAATTACCAAAATTATTCATGAATTTGATCACTTTAAGGGCCCATTAACCGATCTTTTTGAGCCATTGCTAAGGAAAATTTATTCTCATATAACCTCATCATTTTTAGTTAGTTCAGACTTATTTCATGTGTTTTAACTTTTTCACGATTAGTAACACTAGTGATGATGTCATCAGGCCACGCCCATGGTCATGTGAGTAATACTGAAAAAACGTGAATGCTCCCAGGCAAATTACTTTATCGGGATTTTTTCCATTGATTTAATATTTTAATTCATATCCTCATTACACGATGCATAGATTTTGTTTCATTTCTAAAAGGTCAGATTTTGAGAGAATTTCAAAATATTAAAAAATTCGTAATTTTCTGAAAAAAACATGATTTTGAAAAAGGAATGCATAGCTATCTTTCTAACATTGGCTTTGATTGAAATCCGTCGAAAAAGGCTGGACTTAATGAAAAACCGCGTTTCCTTTAGCATTTAAAGAAACTGGAAGTGTGCCCGATATATATTGGAAGTTACAATATCAGCGTTTGCACAATTTACACTACCAGCGCACTTCAGTAAGATCAAACAAAGCCACACGGAGTTAGTCTTTCTCTTTCTATTGCTCTTTTTTTTCTGTCTTTTTCTTATTTTGTCTCTGCCCACACTTTTCTTACTTTGCATTTTGTGAAACACAAAGAAAAACACCTAAAATGTAAGCGAATTTGGAAGTTATTGAGTTGTTTTTATTTTCCGCGCTCAGGCTGATGTAAGTAACCGGAAGTGAAATTTCACCTCTTTAGCTACGCGTGTGAGCACACGCATAAATTGGTTAATGGCCCCTTAAAGAGTAATCAAGTGTCCCCATGGTCACCATTGTGATGTGATCAACAATTTGCCCAATAACAGAGTTGAAAGTACTTTTTTTATCTACCAATTTTCTTTCAAAATGCATCTCTGTAATCCTTTATTGTTTGGTTTTGGTAGAGAAAAACCTTCAGAACTCACTGATCTGCTACAAGCATGCCAGATGCTAGATCGAAGACAACTTGAAGAAGCTTTCCTCTTATATGCGTGCCTTGAAATAATCAAGAAGTACAATCTGCAATTAGACAACATTTCACGCAACCGCAACGATTTGGCTGAGATGGTGGCTGGAAAGTTCCATGATGCCTTCGTGAAAAAGTGGGGTGGTGAGTAGCTGTATTATAATTAGGGTTCTCCAAGAGTTACTTCTCATTCATTAAAAAATTGTTTCTGTTGTTCAAGATTTCAAATATCTTCCTAAAGCAGTCTTAATTCAGTAAATCTATCCTTTCATAACAGGCTTAGTTATGGAAAAAATGGGGTTTTTTGGGGTTTTTTTTGTCATCAGTTTATATGCATTAAAAAATTAATGTCAGAGTATATTACCAAACAAACTGGTCCCTCTTTGTGACAAATCAATTTTACCCAAATAAGAACAATACATAAACGCACCTCCTGCTTCACATAATTTATGCCATAGGTAAAGTTGGTAAATGTTACCATTCATAAGCATAACGCCATTTGGGTGAAGATAGTTTGTGAGCAAAGCTGAATATCAAAAGTTCTCAATTTTCAATTCTACTACCACCTTCAGGATTCCATTAAAGCAAAAACAAAGATAAATAATTTCCAACATTTTCAACTACAATAATTAAAATGTGACTATATTTAATTGATCTTTCACAAAGGCACACTTAATGACAAGACCCATGTACTTAATAGCAGTGGGTCCAGTGAGGACAAAGATTCCCCTATTGAAATTCCGTCCTTTACAACAGATGGCATGAGCAAGGTGTTTGCAACAATACTTTCAACACCAGGACCCATTGTTAGCTTCTCAATTCTGGTTAAAAAGGCGTGCTCAGGGGAAGCACCGCAAACACCATTGCAAATAAATAGCTAATCCATGAATAAACTTTCACAACTTCAGTTTGGGCAGATAGAAAATTTCACCATTACTTCCAACAGTTCAAAGGCAGGTAAACCAATGCTACATATTTTTGCCAAAAACAAAAGTTGAATATTTCATCACCTTTAAAAAGATCTAACTTACAAAAATTATGAACCAAAAACTAGAAGTTCATACAAAGGATCCAAAGTAAACAACAACAGCCCAAAAATTGGTACATCGCTGTTACAAGTTAAACCAAAATCCAAAATACATGTATGTACACGCAAACCAATATCATATCCTTACTAACTGGGTCCAATCATCAAGTAACTATTTAAATTTAAACATAAATAATTTCAACACAGTTTAATTTATGAATAGCACAAACAACAGTATCCAACAAAATTCAGTTATGTTATTCAGACTCCATTTGCTGATTTCCCCTAAACATGATTTTTAGGTCTATTTCTTGTGCAAACAAGAATCAACACAAGAGAAACAGGAGGCATTAGTATTTTCCCGACAACTGGCAGATATCGAGATGTCTTTGCCACAATATATTGAAGCATATGAAACAGATGATGATGAAAGGTACACAAACATATTAATTTATGTTATAGGTTATAAGTCAACACATACAGCAACATTGTAATTCAGAATTTTACAAAAGTAACAGTTTATTATCCAAAGCCATAATACTAAATTGTTGCAACAACTAGCAAAATGGATTGAGGAACAACAATATTCAAACCAACAATCAATTTCAAAATGTACATCTCCAAAGAATTCCCTGAAAATGCAATTACTTATTAGGTTATTTCACTCAATGAGATACTATAAGGTAATACTTTTTCATATCAAGATACCCTGACAGGTAGAATTGTAAAAAGCCAAAGCCACTGATACAAAGTGAAAGAATACAATAGAACGCCAACAACAACAACAACTACAACAACAGTTACACAGTAAAATTGGACAGATACCAACTAACATACTCAACTACAGTTACAGGAAAGGAACATATCTTGATACTTCTCTCTTTCTGGTCTCAAACAGTGCAAGACATCAAGGAGATTATTTGCAAAGTAAAGAAGGTGAAAGAAATGCAATGCCTAGAAAACAACAACGCCTAAATGATGACACAAATCAATGAATAATAATTGCACCCTTTTCCATATTTTTACCTACAGTAACTGGCACCACAATACATAACGAAAACTTCCACAAATTATATGTTCCTACCACATGAAACATACCCCCAACATTACATTAATGAGTTGATATTTCAATATTGAATCAGCCTCAAGTTTTAAAAAATAGGTGCTCGATCAGCACATGAATCCACGGCCGTAGGTAAGTGGATTAGGAATCTCTGCAGGACCTGGGTTTAATTCAATGTC